TAAAAAAGAAAAAATTATGTTGTCTTGTTTCACTACATTGTTCCATGCATAGATATGATATGCAATATTGTAATAGGAAATAAAAATTTTACTCGGTGGACACCGTTTTGTCAGCCATTTGGAAATGGTTGAGGTTTGAATCTTTTTATGAATTTATTGATGTTCAGGTGTCGAACATTTGAAATGTTGAAATGGGATTGTGTGTTTCCCTCAAATTTTGAATATTGTCATTTGTTTTTTCTTCTTAATGAAAGGGGGGGTCGATGAAAATCGGAAATGGTAAATAAACTGCACTTACATAGCGCTTCATCTCCATCATTTAGTTCCTGAAGCACTTCACATTCACCCATTGACACACACATTCATACACCAATGGGAGGCTGCTCCCACGGAGGGCGCTGCCAGGTCCACAGGGAGCCAATTTGGGTTCAGTGTCTTTGATATGGTCTCACGGGTTGAGAAGCGGACATGTATTTTAGGGCCATGTCGTCCACAGCCTTATGAATACATGCATAACAAGAAACACAACACACTTGCTTCCATCAGGGAAATAATAAATTATATTTGAGGCGTTCTAGTTTTCATCTTTTGGTAATTTGCAACGTAAGAGATGTCAAATATTGTCTTTCAGTTATTGCGTATCACATCTTCATCACGGTTCAGGCTTGCGTGATAACAAAAACCAAGGTCAAACGTCGATAGTCTGCTTTGCATGCAGCACTGATTTTACAACCTTCAACATTCCTAATAGTCATTTGTCAGCTGTGTACTCATAAGATTAAAATGTTTTTCTTTGTAACCGTCTTTTTTCCCTTTAATAGTTGTAATTTAGTTTGGTATATTGTTGTGGAAAGCGTAATTTGTTCCACAACATTCATTTTCCTAAAAAGTACTGCATTTAGCATTTCATAACAAAAAATACATTTTAACATATTTGTGTGTGTGTGTGTGTGTGTGTGTGTGTGTGTGTGTGTGTGTGTGTGTGTGTGTGTGTGTGTGTGTCTTTCTATCTGTCTGACCCTGTGTCTTCCTCCCAGTAGTAATAGCTTCTGGTCAAGTGTGAGTGGTTGATCTTCTCCCTCTGCATGGTTCTCATGAAGACTCCTGTCTTGCGGGTCTGTTTGGTCAGGCGATTGTGAATGTCTGAGATGACAACAAAGGTGGTTCCTTGTGGGTAGCACACACCCACATTGATCCAGTCTTTTCTGTCAAAATAAATAAATAAATAAATCATTGAGATTAATTTTTTTATGACAAAACACAAATCCAAGGGAGTTGTGTTTTGTCATTACTTAAAAAATAACCTCTGATAAATACCCCAAGTGGCTGCAAACAATTTGTTGTTATATTACAAATGAGCATGAAATATAATGGCCGAGGGCCAAGCCAACATACTAACCCTAACTTTGTCTTCATTATTTTTTATTGTGTTCAAAAAAAAAAGAAGTATGTTGTCTTGTTTCACTACATTGTTCCATGCATAGATATGATATGCAATATTGTAATAGGAAATAAAAATTTTAAACCTAAATATAAGCGGTCATCAAAGCACTTTTCAAAACTGTAACATTCATTTTCTGCACCAACTGCGAGCTCACTAGCCGCTCCGAGTCAGGACTTCTAAATATATAGCTAGGTGGGCAGTGATGTATGATACAGTGATGACAATATGTACAAATATGAAACTGGAGATTTGCACATTATCAGGCCAAATCTTGACCACACCCCCTTCAACATATATATTTATACATTTTAAAACGGTACGCGTGACCTATGATCGTGATCTTGCTACACTTAACACACTACTAAAGTGGGTTACTCCCTCCTTGTGCCAGGTCTCCTACAAATGTAGCCAGAGTGAGTTCCTTTTCACAAACTTTTGTATCTATTATATTTTTCTGTTTCATCCATGTAGGGGTCTGTTATGGCTGTTGCTTATTACGGCATGCGTGTGCGCGCCTCTGTGTATGCGTGCAGCACGTGCGGGAGGTTGATGGGTCGATCACGGGAGGTTGGCTGCTTGAAAAGTAGATCTTTGGTCAAAAAAGTTTGGATAGCCACGGTTTAGGGAATTTTTTTCCTCTGACAAATATCAGAATTGGTGTCAGCCTAAAAAAAATCATGGCGGTGGATCCCTAGTTCTCATCAGTCGGCCACTCTGCCGCCCACCCAAAAAATCCAATTGAAGTGGGCTTTGTGCGCCTCATAGGATAAGCCAATGACAAAAAGGTCGTAAGTGAGGGCCAGACAAAGCACAGCTTAAAACATGTTTTGATAAAAAACAAAAACGAATCACTTTGTGTGGCTGCGGGTCACCTGAGCCCCCTTTGGAGCCAGGCCTGGAGATGTGGCACAGTGGTGCGTTTGGTAGCCAGGCCCTGTGGCCCCGTACAGAAGCTGGCTCAAGGTGATGAACACCACTTCTATGGCAGGGAAGAAGCATGAGTGAGACTCCCTACTAGTTGTAGTCAAACTCGGCTTAACACCGGCTTTGGCTCTGATGTGGGAAATTGACAGACAGATCGGTGCCGCGTATTCAGCCATGTGGACTCTGCATCAGTTCTGTTGTGTGGAAGAGGGAACTCAGCTGAAGGAAAAAGCTATGGATTTACCGGTCAATCTACGTATATTCCCATCCTCATCCATAATCATGAGCTGTGAATTGTGACCAAATAAACAAAATCACAGATACCAGCAGCCGAACATTTCTGCCTGAGAATGGGAAGCTCGGTCATCCAGGAAGTGCTTAAATGGCAGCCAATTTTATGGATTAAAATAAAAAAAAAAAATTATCTAGAGATAACTTTATAAAAGTACTCAACATTATGTAAATCATAAATACACTTGACCATACCCATGATACAAAGCTGTTTCGGTGAACTCAATATGTTGTTAATATATTGGCCACAAGATGCTGCCAAAGCTCTAACTGTTTCTCAATTGGCATTTGTATCTGTTCTTCAGACCTTGTGATCTCGGGAAAGTTCCTCAGTCTCTGCCCAAGTACTGTTCCGTTTGAAAGTACGAATAAACCAAGAATGCACTGAATACCCGGATGTTGTTCTTGTCAGGTAGCTTAAACCAAGGACGCATCGGTTGGATCCTTGTGAAGGCCATAACAAGAGCACAGCCATTTTAAAAAACAGAGACTCTCCTTCTTAGTAAGAACGTTCTCAATGATCCACATTTATGATTGTACTTTTTTTTTTTTTAAATCATATCCTCGAAATTTCTCGAAAGACCAAGCTCACACAGGTGCTTAGTACATCCGCAGTCAGCTGGGATAGGCTCCAGCACACCCGAGACCCTCGTTGGCATAAGCGGCTTGGATAATGGAGCGATAGACCAAGTGCACACCAAATAAGACTCAGTCAACACTTTCCGAATACAGTGTATGCACACAGACACATTTTTCAGACTTAAGAGTTTGCCAGTGATGTTACTTTGACGCACCCTATTTTCCGTTGTTTCTAATGCTAATCTCATAAATTTTATCAACTACAAATACAAGATTTTCCGTACTACAAGGCACTCCCTGTCGTCCGATGCACCTTTTATATGGTGTCACAGTCTCTATATTCCCCATTGTGTTGTTTCCCTGTTTGTGTTCCTATGCCATCTAGTGTTGATTATTAGCAGGAACCAATTATAACCAAAAAGGTTCTGCCCGACACTAATTGAAATGTGCATTCGTCAACACACACTCAAACAGACAACTACGTTGTGAGCTCTGCAGAGCCATTATGAAACGAAGATAACATCAAAAGCATAGTTAATTACTGACTAAACGAAAGAAGGAGACAAACAAGACTTCTAAGGATATTTAACCCCTTGTGGATGTGAGCCCACGAGGTTTACCTGCCTTTTTGTTGAATCGTCTTAATAACTTTAGTCTTTCATTTCTTGTTTTATAATACCATTTGTATTTATATGTTTCATGTATATGTTTGTGACCAGTTCTGCATGGCTTTGCTCTATATAAATAAAGCTGTATTCAATTGTATATTATTCCCTTTAGCATAGCTCCGTCTTGTGGATGCATAGTGCAACCGGCATCCACTATTGTAGCTTCTATTCTTGTAATGCAGTGCACTCTATTTATGAATAACATCTTTGACATTAGCCATTCATTGAAGGTACACTTTATAATCCGAAGCGCCTCATTGTGTAGAAAATACGGTACCTCCTAACTGTGATATATTTGTTCCTTGCAACACATAAAAATAACAACTCATGGTGTGTTTGTTCATTCTCGCCTCTTCAGGTTAATTAGTTTTGGCACCTATTTCAAAAATGTTGTACAGCAATAATAGTTATTTATTTTGCTTTATTTGCTCTACATTCATATTACATTATAAACTACTCCAAAAAAAAATAAGGAAGGTAACATTTGTCATGCTGAGAGTTAGCTAAGCAGTGACTATGTAGCACAATTTCCAGTCTTTGAAAATAGGACAACGATGAAGAATGTTACGGAAATTTGAAACTCAGATTCTGGAAATAAGGGTCACCTAAAATCTCGAACCCTATTGACTTTGCATGAAGACGTTGGCCACAATTTGGGGCGTTCAAACTATAATACACCACAATGAAAAAAGACAAACACGACATCCACAATTTCCTAAGACATTATGAAATTTGGACTCGTCAGACCAGAGAACACTTTTCCATTTTGCATCAGTCCATCTTAGATGAGCTCAGTCCTAGAGAAGCCGCGTTGTTGATAAATGGGCTTTGCTTTGCATAGTAGAGTTTTAAGTTGCACTTACCAAACCGTATTCATTAATATTGTTTTCTGAAGTATTCCTTGTGGTGATATCCTTTTCATATTGACATAGGATTTTGATGGCAGTGAGGGTTCGAAGGTCAAGGACATTCAGTGTTGGTTTTCGGCCTTGCCGATTACAAGCAGTCATTTCTACAGATTCTCTGAACCTTTTGACAATATTATGGATCGTAAATAATGAAATCCCTAAATTCCTTGCAATTGTACATTGAGGAACATTGTCCTTAAACTGTTCGCCTATTTTCTCACACAGTTGTTCACAAAAGGTGAACCTTGCCCAATCTTTGCTTGTGAACGACTGAGCAATTCGTGGATTCTCCCTTTATACCCAATTTGGCATTGTTCTCATAGCCTGTTCACCTATGGCATGTTCCAAACAGGTGTTTTGATGAGCATCCCTCAAATTTCTTTTTTGCCAGCTGTCCCAGCTTTTTTGGAATGTGTTGCAGCCATAAAATTCTAAGTTAACAATTATTTGCTAAAAACAATGAAGTTCATCAGTTCGAACATTAAATATCTTGTCTTTGTAGTGTATTCAATTCAGTATACGTTGAACAACACACCTTGAGTTTGACAGATGCAAAAAGATACTCCTACAGTGGGTGCACTGGTGATAATGGAATGCATTGCAGTATGTTTGCCCATACTAAACTTCAATATCTATTCAAGTATAATGGCTGAAAAACTGAATAAACACATAGTATTAAAAGAAAAAAAGAAAATAAAAGAAAAATGGTTTTTGGGAATGTGGTCATTATCATGTAGGTGTGATGTTGGAGGTTCTGCTGATGTGTTCGCTTACTTGTTGAAGTTAATAAGCCCGATGATGACCTCAGTTGGTGCAGCTCGGTCCCAATGGATGGTGTACCCCTTTGCCAGTGTGATGACTGGTTGGAACTGCTGGTAGTGCTTCCTCTTTCCCAATGCACCCTCTAATGTCAGGGGTCGGTCAGGGTACTCATCTCTCACGATGTGCATGTTCAGGTTGGCAGGATTACGTGTCTGGACGTAGATCTGGAGGAAACAAACATGCAGTTGCAAGGCTGATTTCAGTCTCAAGGCAGAGGATTTTGTCTACTAAGTGAAATATGACTGTAAATATAAATGTTTTTCAGAGACATTTTTCTTAATCTGATATCTAGCCGTCCGTTTTCTACTATTTGTTCTGTTTAGAGTCACAGAGAAGATGCAACTGATTCCAGCAGACTGGGCCAAATGCAGCGTTCACCCTGGTGTGGCCACAATCACACGTGACAATTTCCAAAACATTCAAATGAGCAAACAAACATAACACACTGTTGTTGAGTTAAAGCAGAATGGAGAATATGAATCAAAAATAAGTATTCTTCCCTCAAACAATGTTATTTATCCATCTCTGTTTGCAAGACAATGACAAAAAAATGAGGGAATGATTTACACAACACTTAATGGAGGGGCGGGGTTAGAAATAAGGAAGAAGAACGGTGCAGATTTAAAGTTAAGTACAGGTGGGAAAAGAAAAACACAACATTGCCACAGTGGGCGCGATTTCCTCCAATCGAGCCGAGAGTGCCAAATGATCGCAGTAAACTGTAGTTTTACGTGATGAAAGGGAATTTTTCCTCAAAAATCTGATGTGTTTAAATCAAAAATGTAATGTGGGGACCTCAAACAGTTGAACGGTTTGTAGAAACATCACTCTTCTTATTTTGATAACCTTACCTGTGCATAGTGCCCACTGCAGATGGCAGCCCTCCAATCGGGCACATCAATGCACTCAGGGTGACGGAGCAGCCAGTTGTCTTCCTTAACCAGGTAAGCTCCAGGATACTCACTCACCGAGCCGTCAATGTCATGGAAAATAGTAGTCTTGTCACCATCCATCTGCATCTTATTAAACCACGGACCAGGCTCCCCAAAAAACACACGCGAGGTGATCTATGTGAGGCAGAATGAGCAATTTTGAGCAAAAAAAAAAAAAAAAAAAATCTGGACAGTAAATCTCTTAATATTCACATTCATTGAATTCCTAAAATGCCCAAGACATCTTTGTCATTTGTATTTTCATAAGGAGAGCCCAAAAGTACTTCAGTATTTTAATTTACGACTGTCAACTTCATACAAAATGCTGTTTATGCCAAAATGTGTTTTATTTTAATTCCTCTGAAAGATAACGCAGCATCTGCTTGACTCATTGCAGAAATGTATGTCCAGTGGGTAAAGCATGTTTTATAATGTAGTCCCCAAATAAAGAAATCAATATTATACTGCCAAATACTGGAAAAACTTTGTTTCAAAGCTTGAACACACAACTCGGACTTACAGGTACATGGTCGAAGGTGATGTCTGTCACGTTATTGTTGGGGCAGCTCTGCCATGAGTTGTTGAGCCTAAAACCAAAAGCACTGCTGTGGCGTCCCTCCAGAGCTGCATATTTACGAAACGTACAGTTTTGCACATTGATGGGCCCGTCGTAGATCTGCATGCCCCGGATAGGGAAATCACTGCACAGAAACAAACCCAGAGTTTTCCCCAGATAAGAGCAAAAATAAAGTACATCCTTTTTAAGTGCAATTATTATAAACATTTGCATTGAAATGAAGAATAATAAAATATCTTGGATTAAAAAAAAAAAAGAGATTCAAGCCCTGTTAATTTTTTTTTATGACAATATTCAACAAATGTACTGTCTGTAATGGCAGAGTTAAATATGTCTTTTATTTCCTTCCTTCCTGTATAATTTATCTTAGTTTTCCCATTTAAAAAATTCTCTCATGAACATTACAGCAGGACTGCGTGTGTGAATATTTTAAAGTATACAGTATATATTTCATATTAATGCTTCAAAGAATTATTCCCTCACAGAATTATGTACCCAGCAGTGACCTGTCAGCAACGCACATTGCACACATGCGTGTGCATATATATTTTTAAATTAATGCAGGACCTGAACGATGATAGTGCTAATGGTCATTTTCATGTGAAAACATTTTCAAGTACCAAGATAAAAACAAATAGTTACAAATGTTTATTTCTATACTCTTTTTGTTCTTTTATATATGTATATATATATATATATATACATACACATACACAAACACACACACACACACACACACACACACACACATACTTTTGTTCTTCTACTTCTCCCTTTCATAATTTTGCTGCTGTAAATTGGGAATTTCTCCATGGTGAGACAAATAAAGTTTTTCTTATTTCATCTTATATTATATGCAGGGTTTTGTCTGTGTTCAAAATTGCGTGGTGGCCACCTCTGGCTAATTTTGTGCTGCCCCCAGTCAGGCCGATATCACTTAACACAGCGTAAGCTCCAGCTGTTTGAGTGATTGCTCCAGCTGATTGAGTGATTGCTGTTCCTTGCGGCAGTGACATATTTTAAATGCAGTTGCAGCGTTGCGCCACTAAGGAGGTGCCATATCAACATCAGTGCACAGGCAAGACGAAGCAACTACCGAAGAAGAAACAGATCAAATTGTGTTTTTACCCCTGTAGTCTGTGCTATCAGAGTCCTGATTTTCCCTGGCAAATGGAACAAACTCGTAAAAATTGCTGTTATTTTTTTTTTTTTTATCCAAATATGTTGTGTTTATTATAATAAAAGTGTCCTTCGTGTTGAAGGAATGTTTGCTTTTTAGCGTTGTAGATATGGCAGGGAAAATCAGCCACTTTTGTTAAAACCGACCTCGCGAGGAGGAATGTCACATCCAGTTGAAACAGAGCAGAAAAATGAATGCAATAGGCAGTTAAAATGTTGGTGATGCCAACATGTGGAAATTTGTTCTGAAACACCCATGATAGCGAGGTTCAGAATGCAGGACAGGACAAGTTGGCAAGGTGAGGCTACATAAATCCGTGTCTAATTAAGAGCAGAACAAGACAAAGCCAATGTCTACGTGATTGAAACATTATTTTTTATTCCCCTTTTCATATCATCTCAAAAATCCACGAGCCAGTGGCTTTGACAAGCAGTGACTAAATCAATTCACTTGGCTCAGGCAGACTGAGGAAGGCATGCACTATTATTTATGCCAAAAGCACTGTGCCCCAATTTTGCAGGCAAGTGCTGCCTCCCTTGTGGGACAGCCATCAACCAACTACAGGTTGGACACAGGACATGAGGCGGCCACCATTCACAAAGCAGCAGAAGACAAAGAGAAGTATATTAAAGATGGTACTACCTAAAACACTCAACTAATGAAGTTAGAAAAACTAATATACTTTAGATAGTTTAAAAAATGTTCTTCTTTTTTGACGGAGGACACTGTAGCATGCGATTGCAGCATGGGTGAACATGGAACACAGTGCGCGCGAAGGCTGCTTCAAAATAATCTATGATTGTCTCAAACAAAAGTGGCACCACCAAAGAAGCGATGAGCCCATCATTCTTCTATGCATGTTTTCATATATGAATGTTTTGACATTATAATAGTCATATTCTTATTGGAACTCAACTTAAAATATGATTCCTGTAAAAGAAAGTGAGTCAGTTGAATTGACAGACGACATGCACGTCATGGCACGTAATCAGGCTGGTACCACCTCTGCCTCAATTTGAGCCAGGTAAAACCCTGCTACACTTCAACGAGCCGTTGCCATTAGTAGTGATGGGTCCGGCAACATGGATGCATCAGCTCATGCGTCGAGCTCAGAGAGCGAAAGCCCGTGCGCTGTGAGCAAAATCACCTGACCCACACAGCGGTTGTGTCGTACAGCGGTTAGTGTGCCAAAGTGTGGTCATCAGGATGTGGAACATTTGCATTCATGTTGAACGGAGGAGACTTTGATTGTGTGTTGTTTTTGGATCCCTATTTTCTCTTTGTGTCGATTTGTGGATACCACGGAGCAATCGGGAAAGAAGAACATTCTGCAGTTTTGATCTGACAAGACCACATCAAGATAATGTTAACCATTCTCCACTTTGGCCTTGTTTTCATTCAAGTTAATGTTCTCTCAGCATTGTGACGACGCCATTCTCCATGGCAACAGAAGGACAACAGTGGAGCAAGCGGAGCTGATGTGAATGCTCCAATGTTCCCATTTCAGCTTTTAGTAATGTCATTTTATACCACGCACTGACAAGTGGGAACTCTTGTCACCACTGCATGTAAATCTTGTAACAGCACTCCAATTTCCACATGCACTCCAATGTTGTAAATGATTTGCACAAATCTTAAATTTTAATTTCACATTTTCACTTATACTTCCTTGCTACAAAATATTTGCTGTCAGAAAGCACTGCAATTTATGATTTGATGTTCACTCTGTCCACTGAAGCAACGCACTCCACTCTAGCTAGGCAGCCTGCGATGATTTTTTTAGGTCCACCAGATGTATCGATTAATCAACACACCAACACACCATATGTCGACACAATTGGGGGAATGTGCCACACGCTTCACGAGGCCTCATTTTCTCATCACTAGCCGTTTGTATTGGCAAAAATATTACTTACAATTAAGATAAGAAATCCTTTATTAGTCTCGCAATGGAGAAATTCTTAATTCACAGCAGCAAAGTTATGAAAGGAAGAAGTAGAACAAAATATAGGAGCTGCTGGAAAGGCACTTCCAACTATGACACTAACATTGGAGCGTCATAGCGTTTGCTACCCTTCCATCTGTTTTCTGAACTACGAATCCTCAGTAGGGTCGCAAGCATGCAATAAAGCTGTTGTTAATTGTAGTCATGCATTACTGGACATCATAATCTGACGATGAAACTTGACTTTGTGCCATGGTTAGCCTCAAGTACAGTTCACTGAAGCGTGGGAAATCTGAGCATGGAGCCAGGTTTATGTGAATAACAGAGATGGGCATTTTACCTTATTTTGACGGTCAGTCCTTCGTCCACGACCTGGACACCCTTCCGTCATCGTCCCGCCATCCTTATTAATATAATAATCGTCCTCCATCCCTGTCCTTTTAAAGCGCCTCTGTCGCAGCTATCTCAACCGGCTGGATTGATCGTTAGTGAAATGGGTGTCTTTAGGCACTTTGTTATGTTCTCTGACGGTACACTAGGTGGCAGTATTGCTATGAAAATATTGTTGAGATGAAATACTCTGTTAAGAAAATACAGTGTTTGGCTACACACTGGTCTTTTTATTTTGCCTCCCGACACCACATACTTAACCCGGTTAGGGAAGATTAAAGGGATGGATGAAAATTCCCTTCCATCCTTTTTAAAAAAATTCTCATCCTCTGTCCTCCCACCCAAAAATGAGCGTCCGTCTAGGACGCCCTGTCCCAGGGACAGAATGCCCATCTCTGGTGATTAATTAAATGCAAAAGTGGCAAACTCAGCATTTTTCGCACTAGTTCCAGATCAGCCATTTTGTGTGTTTTCTGAGAGGCTCTGCAATGAAGTTTATTTAACTTTGTCTACCTAGGCATCAGCCATCTCGGCAACCCCGCTTTTATTCATGTTTCCTACTCCGCCTATGACGCCTGTCAGACCTGACAAAAATCCACACAGGTCCCACTTGTAGCGCTCTCAACCCGGGGTGTTAAAAGTGCGGTAAAAATTCTCTACAACTCATCAATTTGTAATGCAATCCAATGCTGTTTAAGTGGTGAAAGTACAATTAAAAAGGAAAAGGCACAGCTCGTCGTCATCACAGTCCGGCGGCTACCTGAACCCGCTTCCCTGACAGGCTTATAAATCACTGGGGGAAACTTTTGTTCTAGTATAGCAGAATATAATTCAATCATAACTGTGACTGGCATAATAGATACTAAACTATAAACAACAATAATAAAACTGGGACATGGTCTTTGTGGTAGGATCCAATCAAAATGGCACATCTTGACTTTTTTATATCGTTAGAGTTCACTGAAAAGGTGGGAAAAAGTTCTCCAATAATTAATATTTATCTGATGTTACTATAACACATTCCGAAATTAACATTTGGGCATTTTAACATGTCAACTTTTTTTTAATTCGTTATGTACAGCATATTTTGATTAGGTTGGATGTTTTGATGATTGTTTATGAATTAATCATTTGGTGGGTTCTTATCAAATTTGGTTGGATTTTTTACTTCAATGCCGCTTATTTTGTTCAGGGCCATGGGTGAGCTGGGCCTCCTCAGACGTCTTGTGCGAGAGGCGAGATGGATCACAGGGCAAACATAGACAAACAACCACTCACTCATATTCACACGATGAACATTTTTGATTATTCAGTTAATCTAACATGTAAGACTTGGGAATTTGGGAGAAACCCTGAAGACCTGAAGAAAATGCACGCAAGCACTGGGAAAACATTCAAATTCCAAGATAGCATGAGCTGTCAAAATACTCCCCCACTCCCTCCCTCTATTCATCCATCTGAACCAATCATCCGCATGATGGTCGTGGGTGTGCTGGAGTCTATCCTGGCTGTCTTCGGGCAGCAGGCGAGTACAACCTGAACCCGTTGCGAGCTAATCACAGGGCACAGACATTACTGAACAACCATTCACACCTATGGAGAATATAGAGCAGGGATAGGGAACTCCAGTTCCTCGAGAGCCATATCCTGCCTGTTTTAGGTCCCTCCCTACTCCAACACATCTGATTCAGTTGTTGCCTTGACGGAGCTTGCTGATGAGCTGATCATTTGAATCAGGTGTGTTGGAGAAGGGAGGGACCTAAAACAGGCAGGATATGGCCCTCGAGGAACCGGAGTTCCCTACCCCTGATATAGAGTGTTCCAATTAACCTACCATATATGTTTTTGTTTTCTCCGGGTACTCCGGTTTCCTCCCACTTTCCTAAAAACGTGCATGGCAGGCTGATTGAACACTCTAAATTGTCCCTCGGTGTGAGTGTGGGCGTGGATGGTTGTTCGTCTCTGTGTGCCCTGCGATTGGCTGGCAACCGATTCAGGGTGTCCCCTGCCTACTGCCCGGAGACAGCTGGGATAGGCTCCAGCACTCCCCGCGACCCGAGTGAGGATAAAGCGGGTCGGAAAATGGATGGATGGATGGTTGTATGTTTTTGGAATGTGGGAGAAAGCCAGAGTACCCGGAGACAACCCACACAGGCACCAGGAGAACATGCAAACTCCACACAGGGAGGCCGGAGCTGGAATTGAACCTCTGCACTGTACGGTCGACGCGCTAACCAGTCGCCCACTGTGTTTCTCCCACAAAATAAAAATGAGTGCCACTTTCTGACCATAAAACACAAATTTGAGTCGATTTTATTTGGGGGGGTGCATTATCTACTCATGAAAAAAGTTCAGGTTGTAACATCAAAAATGATAAACAGGAGGCAACACAAAAAAGACAAAACAAAAAAACTTCCTACAAACAAAAATCCAACGTCCTTAACATAAATAATAAACAAATGCTTCGCTTCTTCCAGGTAAAGTCTGTTAAACAAACTATGGGGTATTTAAAGGCCAACAAAACTCAATATGCATGAAAACTTTGGTATAAGTGAAATTGGTGGAATAGTTTTACAGACCGAAATATATTTTCTTTTAGAGGGCTTGTGATGATATCTCATCTATTGGAAGCAAATCTATGATTGAATCCACTTTGGGGTTTGGGGTCTGAAATAGATGATGGTGGGATAAAGCGTTTTTTTCACTTTTCACTTTCACTTACACGCCTCGCGGGAGGGTCCTGCCCATGAGGTCAGCACCCCCTGGGCCCCAGATACTGTTATCAGGGAGTGGCATTCCATGATTTTCACTTTCCCCCACAAATAGAGAATTCTTCACCATCTGACGAGAACCATCATCATCTGGAAAGGTTCCTCCACTGCACACACAGACAGTAAATGTTAGAAAAAAAAGGCACAAATAGTAGAGGCACTTTTGATGACTGAATGTATTTTTGTTATTGGACGTGCCAGTGAGTCATCAGCCCGTCACATCTATTAGCCCACTCCTTTAGTTGGACTTTCCATTGTCCCTAATAATCATTTTTCATTATCATGATCAACATCATAGATTTTATTTGTAAGATTCTTTTTTCGCAGAGAAACCACAGGAACCTTTTGCAAGACCTGGACAGAGTCTCTGGGCAGAGGGAAGTCTGGGCTCCTCTGCAATTCTTTTTTTTTGTCACTGCAATCAAAAACTCAAATATTTTTTTTCGTCTCCGGTCCTGTCACAATTTCTTTTTATAGCTTAATGTATTTTCCTAGAGTCTTGCATGCTATTTTTTCCACTTTATTTTGTTGCTAACATACAGAGGTAACATTGAATCTGTATTCCTACGTGTTTTTTTTTTTTTATATACACCAGAGTCTACATTCTCCTTTGTTCCTTACGTACAGTATTCCTTTTACTTAGTGCCCCTAGTGTTTAGACCGAGACACACAAATGTGTTGTGCTATAGGCTGCAATTCAGAGAAAATGGGTGCCGTGGAAGACTATTATTGAATATGTTTCACCACAACATGCGTGTCCATAAACTCTGACCCACAAAATCACATCTTACATGTGTAGGCTCGATCATCCTCCATATGTGCCCGTTCTAATTTCTTAGTAATTACCACTTCAGGAAGAACTCATGAATTACCGTAATTTCTGGACTATAGACCGCACCTGATTATAAGCCGCACCGCTACATTTTTAAAGGAAAAAAATATTTTGTATACACATAAGCCGCACCTGTGTATAAGCCGCAGGTGCCCATATTGTAACATGAGATATTTACAAAGAAAGACGGTACACAGGCGGCCGTTAGAAAAGTCTTTATATAAGCCGCTTCATGAAATAAGCCGCAGAGTTGAAAGCGTGTGACAAAAGTCGTGGCTTATAGTCCGGAAATTACGGTATTTTTCAGACTGTTTCAAAACAGTTTACCAGTGCGGACTGCAAATACTGAAATGTGTTTTCCAATTATTTAAACAAAAAAAAAAAAAAGAGAGAGTGGGGTGTCTTATAATGCTTGTATTGAATGCACAAATACACCTTTATTTTATCTGTCAAGATAATATGGTCGAAAACAGAAGCTTCTCCAGGAGGACTTTGCCACCGGAGGGTAACAGTTCAAATCCAGCTGGGGACAACAACAAGAAATTAAACTGATTCATGAACAAATGTTTGTCTGTGTTCTGACTAGTGCCAAGGTGCCTTTGACCATGGCACCAAACCCCCAATCTCATCACTCTGAAATATTTCCTTGTATGACTGCAGGTTTGTGATCAGCCTCTGTCTAATGTATGTAGCAAAAATTTGAGTGTACATTTTTCCTTGATGTATGGCAATTATCATGATGCATTTATTTTCATTCGTTTATGAGTGATAGAGTGGAGGTCTTACCTTGCCAAAGTGAGGCCAATGCCGTTATCTGCAAATCTACAAAATGAATACATTGAGTTTCATTTTAAGGCACTCAAAAATCAGCCATTCAATTTTTACTCACTGGCAGTTATCCAGCCAGACATCCCCTCCTCTCAGCCAGGCTCCGTGGTCCTGGTTCTTATAGGCTACAAAATGGTGAATGTGAGCTGGGACTCTGGGTTTGAAAGGGTCAGCATCCTGGTGGGGGCCATACCTTTGAGGGGCAGCGTGGGGTTACACAAAATTATAGCATCACTGTCTGGATTAAAAATGAAGTTATTTCATTTTTTTTTTTTTTTTTTTTTTTTTTTTTTAGAAAATCATGTTCATTGCATTTGTTGTTGAAATAAAACATGTTCTACCTTGTTTTTCTCTAGGTCATGGTTCTTTTATGATTTCATGCATTTTTCATTGAGCAGACCAAAGGTGGGTGCAGAGCGAAATAATCTTCGTGGGTAAAGGCAGTTTGAATTTGACCTTGGAATAGATATTTTTATATAATTCTGTCCATCAATTTTCTCAACTGTTTGACCCTCTTATGGTCAAGAATGAGCAGGCGCCTATCCCAACTGACTTTTGGTAAAATGCAGTGTACCTCCTTGATGAGTCGCCAGTTCTTTGCAGAGCACTTATTGACTTTTGACAATCATTTATATCAATGGGAAATTATGAGTGCCCAGTTACTTAAAATTCGTGTTTTTGGATTGTGGGAGGAAACATGAGTAACCAGAATTAACTGTAGAAGATGTACCGGTAATCACAGAACCTGACGGGCGTGAGGCAGACACACCACACACTTAAAGAATTCTCAGTAGGATATAAAATAATGACAAAATCCCTGAGTGTAGTTAAAGATTTGAAAAGCTAATAGAAAAGATGGTCACAAATTCTTACCTGGCTCCAACCAATGAGAGGAAAGGTCTTTTGTCCTTGTCATTTGCCTGAGTGGTCTTGACTCCATTATCTAGGATGAATCCGGCCTGAAACCAAGGAAAATATTTATTTAAAGCACCGAGCACACATCTGAGCTGTCATTAGTTGATCACATTCAAAAGCTGGAAGCTTGTTTCACACTTTTAGCCTTAAGGCACTGATATTTTTTATTGTACAAGACAATAACACAACCATCATCATGATTATCATCATCATCATTCTCTGTTGCTTGTCCAAGGTTGGGTCGTGGGGACAGCAGCTTAAGCAGAGAAGCCAAGACGTCCCTTTCTTTAGCCACTTTGTACAGCACAGCTTGGGGGAATCCCTAAGCATTTCCAAGGGAGCCGGGAGACAGAGTCTCTCCAGCATGTTCTGGGTCATCCTCGAGGCCTCCTCCAGGTAGGTGTCCAAGTGATGCCCGAGCCACCTTTTCTGGCTCCTCTCAATGTGACTTTGAGTCCTTCCCAGCTTATCGAGTTTCTAACCCTATCTCTCAGAGACACCTTGCGGAGGAAACTCATTTTGGCCTCTTGAGTTCGGGATTTTATTCTTTTGGTCAAGACCCACAGCTTGTGACCCGAGATGAGGGTAGGAATGTAGATCGTCCACGATGGATGAATGGATGGATGCTTTTGTTAAAAAGGACAGGTTCTTTCTTACTGGTGCAGTTCAATCACCCTCTGTTGGTTAATTTGCTTATGCAATTTAATTTTTATGAGGTTTATTTTGGCCACCAATGTTTAGGACCCACACTAATTACTAGACGAAGGGCATCGTAGCGTATTCTAATATCTAATATACCTACTGAAATTGTACTCGTGTGTGTGCATTAGCATAGAAGTGACTCAATATTAAATTTGTTGGTTTTTTTGTGACTTTAGGTCATCTATGTACATTGCAGTTGATGTTACTTGTACTATTTTAATGCGTTTTATAGAACCATCACACATATCCACGCAGATTAAATATTGCAGAGAGAAAATTATTCTGATTATTGCTCATGTGGACCATAATATGTTCTAACCAAGGAATTGATCATGACCGTTTCAGACTTCTACAGAGCTCGCATATGAGCTGATCGTTTGAATCAGGTGTGTTGTAGTAGAGAGACATCTAAAACAGGCAGGATATGGCTCTCGAGGAACCTGAACTCCCTAGCCCTGTCTTAACCGGACAGACTGTCGCAGTTAGATAAACCAGTCATATCAGCAAATATTTCTCAACTTTGTTGGATACAAGATCTGAAATTTGCCTTGCATTAAAACAGCATCGCTATCATACAAAAGCAGTCCATTGGACAACACAAACATTATCATTTGACAAAGACTGTGTCATTAAGGAGTAATTTATTTTGTGTGATTTTTAGAAAGCTCCTCGTGTTTGGATTGACTGATGCACAAAGGACTGTTTTGAGCCTCACTCTGTGATAGCGTGGCACACAGTACTGGCGCTGGGAAGGTAATAGCACATATTCATTGTTTGGATCATGGCTGAGGTTGGAGATGCCATTCTTAGTCAATTGCATGGTGTCATTGTTAAGATAGGCTGCTTCAAACAGTTTGTCCAGAGGTTGGCCTACAATCTTCAGACTTTTAATCAGGTGTCTTAGGCCAGATTTTGCAGTGACTGTGAGGCAGCTGAACCATACGGCATTACGATACTGTAGCACACTGCGGATATTGGGGGTGAAGAACAAAAGGAAAACTTGCTGTGGGGCCTCAAATGACCTGAGGCGACATGAACATTTTCTGCAGATGAAGTCAACGTGATGTTTACATGAATATGTTGAGTCAATCATAACGTCCAACTATTTGAATGACTATGTCTTGTGCAAAATGTATCAATGACAGTGGGAGTTCCAGATATGTATTTGGTTTTGCAAACCACTTCCTGTTTTTTTTCCAAGCTTATTCCCAGAGTGTTGTTTTTACTCCATGTCCACACCCTGTTGATGGAGGGCCTGATTGTCACGAGTTATTCAACAGCGTAATCAAAACAGTATCATTTGAGTACTTGATATCAAATTGATTATTTGAGAATGAACGGCAATCATCTGTGTATATGGTGAAGAGTACAGCTGAAATCAAACAGACCCGACATTGGTTGTGTTGGCACAGGAAAGGGTTTTTAACTAACTGTACTCTGTTGATACGATATGAAATATGAGTGAACACCCTGATGGAGGAACTTAGAAATTAAAATGCTTGGTTGATTCGGCAGATGAAAAATCTAGAAACGAGAACTCTTCCATAGTTTCCATCCTTTTCCAACTGAGGGCCATGGTGTCAGATTTAGAGGTGGTCTTTATCACCCCAGGTGCTTCACACGACTGTGTACCACTCAAATGAGAGTTGTAGATCGTGATTTGAAGAGGCCACCACATCAGACGCCCTCAACGCCTCCTCGACTGCACGGAAAAAAAAACCTGACCATAAAAGTTATGAATAGAATAGGTGCCAAAGTGCAGCCTTGGTGTCGTCCAAACCTCACTGGAAACAAATCCAACCTACTACCGGCAATGCGGACCAAACTCTGGCACCAGTTGTACAGGGATCAAACAGCCCATTATAGGGCGGCCAATACCCCATACTCCGGGAGCACCCACCTCAACATCCCCCATGGTATATGGTTGAACACCTTCACCAAGTACACAAAACACACTGGTAGACTGGTTGTGTGAACTCCCTTGCACCCTTGTGGGTGTCAAGCTGGTCGATCCACTGTTCCATGGCCAAGACAAAAACCACACTGCTTCTCCCGAATCTAATATTTGACTTCTTGATGGACCCTTCTCTCCAGCTTCACTGAATAGACTTTACCGGAGAGGCTCAGGATTGTGATCCCCTTGTAGCTGGAACACATCCTCTGGTCCCCTTTCTTAAAAAGATGGACTGCATCCAGTCTGCCAATCCAGAGGCACTGTCCCCACGATCAACGCGATGTTGCAAAGGTGTATCAACCAGAACAGCCCCACACCATCGAGAGCCTTTAGGAACTCAGAGCGGATTTCATTTACCCATGGGACCACCCTTGCCACGTAGGAGCTTTTATCCACCTTGGTGACATCAACCCCAGAGATAAGAGAGCCCATCTCAGTGTCTCCAGACGCTATTTCCTCAAAAAGGTGTATCGGTGGAATTGAGAAGATCTTCGAAGTACTCTCCCCACCATCTCACAATGTCTCATGTCGAGGTCAGCAGTGCCACATCTCTACTATACACAGTGTTATTGGTGCACTGCTTTCCCCTCCTGAAGCCGTCCATTTTTGCCCCAGCAACTGCCGAAGCTACGTTTGTCTTGACCAGCTGTTACCCATCAGCTGCCTCTGGTGTCCCACAGGCCAAAAAGGATGAAACCCCTTCAGCTTGATGGCATCCCTTACCGCTGGTGTCCACCTGTGGGCTTGGGGATTGCCTCCACATCAGGCACCAACTATCTTACGGCAACATCTTCGATTGGACGCCTCAACAATAGAAGCAAGGAAGATTAGCCACTCGGACTCAATGTCCCCCGCCTCCCAGTCATGCTCTTCCAGGTCTCACTGTAATTTCCCACGTGAGAGGTGAAGTCTTCCAGCAGAACAAAGGAGTTCCCACAGCAATTGCTCTCCAACACACCCTCCAAGGACTCCACAAAGGATAGGCACTCTGACCTGTTGTTTGGTGCGTAGGCACAAACAACATGTGTTAATATTATTTCAGTGGGTGGGTGTGGATGGATGGATTGACTGGATGGATGGATTTGATTAAACGCTATATTTCCAGACTCACCCTGTAGTTGGAATGAGCTCTGTTGTTGATAAACTGGCCCATAGGCGTGTGTTCTGTTTTTCCAGGCGAGTACAGCCCCTCAGATGGTCCAGTGGGTACATGGTGGAAGATAAACCAGAATCCTGTTTCCTATGCAAACATACACAAAAAGCCGTTCAGACTGCGCTGTCATAAATCTACTATAGGGATCACCAAGCTACCCGTGTGCACCATATAACACCTAATGACAGCATGAGAAGCCTGCAGGCCTGTTTGAAGACTCACCAGTGAATGGACAATTTCCATTGTTGAAGGGATCATTTGAAAATGTACACACTTGATTTGTAGAAATAGAGTGTTGCATACTGATATTTGTGTGACGGTGTTAAACTAATGTTGATATTAAATGTGAGATATAATTAAAATGATCAGCGTGTCTATCTATGGCTGACATTAATTATGAATAGAACACAGAAATAAAGGTGATTTATACAAATTTGTCATTTTAGATATGTAGATCAAACTGGTAGCCTTTCATATTAATCAGTACCCATCTGTTACGTTTGACACAGAGTGCACTTTCTTTGCATTAACATTCACACTGTTTTTCAGTATTTTTGTGACTCCTGTTTATATGACTATTATCAAAACATAATAAAAAATGTTCTATTACAGGGGTCGGGAACCTATGGCTTGCAAGCCAGGTGTGGCACTTTGATGATTGTATCTGGCTAAAACAAAATATTCTCGCTTGTTTAATCCATCAATCCATTTTTCACTGCTTATGTCCTGTTCAGGGCTGCAGTTGGCAGCAGGAGCAATTTTAATTGGATGATACTGGCCTACGTTAGCCGTTGCTGGGGAAACAGGTAAACGCCCCCTTTTGAATCAGCCCGCTCGGTCATTAGCTCAAAGCTAATCCTTCGACGAATAAGATGGCAAAAAGAAAAAAAAGATGACGAATATGGTACACTTCAGGACGAATGGACCGAAGGATTCACCTTTGTGGAGAGAACAGGTTCTGCGGTGTGTCTAATGTGCAATGACAAAATACTATCGATAAAACGGTTGAATGTAAAGTGGCACTTTGACACGCACCATGCTACGTTCACATCAAAATACCCAGTGGGAGACAGCAGAAAGGAAGCGTGCAAGCTACTGAGCAGGGTGGAAGCTAGCTAGCAGCAACTCCGCGTATGGACCCGGCAAACTGACTATAATTCCGAGAGCTTTGCTAGCAATCATGAGGAACGGAAAACCATTCACATTAAAGGTTATTATAACAAAATTATTGAAAAGAATACATTCAGAGGCTTATTATACTGACATTTTGTTGAATTCACTTTTAAAATAGAGTT